CACTGCTTGAAGAGTTGAGGACACTACTTCCTGTATGGCACTTACATCCATTCCCAATGTTAAATTCTGGAGATTTAATTCAAGTTGCTGTAATATTCCTTCTAATGGTAATCCATAATCCACACATATATCTTCCAAAGCACTGATGCATGTCAATACTGTTGCCTCCTCACATTGAATGGTTTTCACTGCTTCAGGCAATATGATACTACGGAAATTAGTATTCAGCTCCTAGACAAAACAATAGTCACCATTTCATTCATTTATTCAGTATTGCAATAAAACTTGAATTTTGTTAACTGTATACTACAGCATCATGGTGTTCCAGCCTTGGTGCACATAGTCAACATATTTTAAAAATGATAGTGCACTCTGAACAGGAATATATCATGACCAACTAAACAAACACACACAAGTTTAACAAATCTGATCCAGAAAAGACACCAGTCTGCAGGCTGCATACACAGTGGTAAGATTACCAATTGCCATTATCTCTGGTTAAACATAAGAATGACATGTAGGATAGCCTTACCTGCAATGCAATGTATACCTTGTTGGCATATTTCACTGTATTTATAATATGCTGAACATCTTCAGACATTGGAATCTAGAACAAACCAAGCAGAAAAGAAATAAGTTACTCATTAAAAAAAATTGAAGAAATTAAAATAACCCCGAAAAAAAGCAAAAATGCAAAATAATGGTTTCCAACCAGTGATGTTTCAGTCAAGTCAATGCATATTTGCAAAGCAGAATAAACAAGCAGCCTATCGGCTGAGATAGCTCCGCTGTTAGCAATGCACATTTCAATTAAAGAACTGAAGACATCATTAGAAAATGAACAATATGAATAGTATCAAAGCAATCGGACTTACAGTTTTTAACAAGAAGTCGAAAATATCACTTTTTACCAAAAATTACAAAAATATTCACCAAAATAAATAGAGAATTGAAGATATCATCACAAAACAAACAAATCTGAGAGAGGTCCACATGTAGTACCTATATATGTAATATCAAAGCAATCGGACTTACAGTTTTCAACAAGAAGTCGAAAATATCACTTTTTACCAAAAATGACAAAAATATTCACCAAAATTAGAGAACTGAAGATATCATCACAAAATGAACAAATCTGAGAAAGGTCTACATGTAGTATCTATATATGTAATATCAAAGCAATTGAACTTTTGGTTTTTAACAAGAAGTCGAAAATATCACTTTTTACCAAAATTACAAAAATATTCACCAAAATTAGAGAATTGAAGATATCATCACGAAATGACAAATCTGAGAGAGGTCCACATGTAGTACCTATATATGTAGTATCAAAGCAATTGGACTTGCGGTTTTTAACAAGAAGTCGAAAATATCACTTTTTACCAAAAATGACAAAAATATTCACCAAAATTAGAGAATTAAAGATATCATTACAAAATGAACAAATCTGAGAGAGGTCCACATGTAGTACCTATATATGTAATATCAAAGCAATTGCACTTGCGGTTTTTAACAAGAAGTCGAAAATATCACTTTTTACCAAAAATGACAAAAATATCACCAAAATTAGGGAATTGAAGATATCAACATGAAATGAACAAACCTCAGAGAGGTCTACCCAAGGTACATATACACCAAGTATCAAAGCATTCAGGCTTGTAGTTTTCAAGAAGAAGTCGAAAAAGTAAAACATTGACACGGACGATGACGACGGACAATCACTCATATGATAAGCTTCGCTCGACAAAGTCGACAGCGGAGCTAACAAAAAACTGATTAGCAAACAAAGCAGAACAAACGAGTGTTAGGATTTAGCTTTGCATTGACATAACTACATGTTGATCTATTGCTGGAATAATCAGATTAACCAAACAGTAACTAATATAATAGTCATAGTCACTTTACAGTGTTATGTTTGCTATCATTGTATCAATACATTGTACTGCTTTGAAATTGTTTAGTATACATCCTTAACTATGACAGCCTACTACAACATGGTTAGAAGTGATTTGACTAACCAGAGGATGTTCTTGCAATAGACCAACCAGGTGAGACACATTGCCACTCATGCTGCACAATTCTTCTAGAAACCAACTACCATCTCTGGAAGTCAAATCCATCAAACGATCACCAGCACCTAGAAAAGTCAGACAACATTCTTTTAATAAAGCAGAAATTATGAATCTCTGGTAAGGGGAATATTCAGTGCTCTCACTATAGCATGCCATAAACATGTCTTATTGCGACTAAAATGAGATCAATTACTGGACATTGCTATGATCACTCGCAAATGATATTCTAGGCTGAATCATGTTTTGTGATATATTTGAGATGATATAAATGTCAATGTTGTCGCTCATTTTGGCTTGCTATTTATTTTTTGAGGAATTTTATTTGCAAATGCTTTATAATTATGGCTACAGCATTTACTGTAATATTCACTCCTTCAAATGTGTCAGAAAATAGTTCCAAACCCCAATATCATCAAAGAATGCAATTTATACTTTGTACATCCTTATTCTCAGAGCAGCCTGTAACAATATGAGAAGAGAGTACCATACCAGAAGCTGCTCCTTCCATCATTAAGGCCCTTCTATTCAAAGCACATAATGCAGTCACTGTTACGGATGTCAGACTTGTAACACCACTTACTCCATTTTCTGAAATAAAACATACATAAATGTATGGTAGTTATATTGTTTTCATTTAGTAGCATATACTGTAGTAGCACATTCAAACTGCATCACTAAATTTACCACTACAAATCTCACAAGACAAATTCTCACAAATTTCAAGAGCAGAAAAAATTGTGTCAAACTCCAAAATTATGTTTACAGAATTACACAGAGCAATTAGGGGAAGAGGGAAAAGGGAAAAGTAATATGGCCAAAAAGAAAGATGGCTGCAGGTCTGTTGTCTTTTATCTATTCACAAATTAAATTGTTATGGACATGTATAACTACATGCATAGTATACATATATGCAATCAAATCGGATATGAACTCACTGGTCATAAGACCAGGGTCCTTTATTTCTGAATGAATTGCAGTGTATAATCAGTAATTGAGACTGAATAATAGACTAATCTAATCGTGTCAAAAATCAAATGATTTATTAAATGATTTCTAAATCTGCAATCTAGTATATCGTCACAAACTTGATATTTCTATTTTTAATTTTTGTATTCAAACTCAAGTTAGGTGCACGTCTCCAGTATTATGATCCTGAGCCCGCTTAACTTTTATTGTGTTACCCAATGACACTCTTTCTAACAATGTTTTCATGGCAGGAAATAAATTCAAAATTTAACGAAAAAGAAGCACAAGTCAAACAAGTACCAAATGACTAACATACATTGTATGTTTGAGAATATACAAACTTGGATTGTCAGTTAAAGTTTACTCACACTCGTATAGTCATGATCTATTGTACAAGCTATTATGTATCTCAGGAGGAAATCTTGCCATTCATGAATTTATTTGCCATCAGACTCATTCATGTTATACTAATTGATACATGTAATTTTTTTGATTCATTATTTTGATTTTTTTGACTAGGAACATTTAATTCAATCTTTGGAAGATAATCCTACAAATAAACATAGGTGTGTATTATAATGAATGTGACATACAGTATTTGTCTTCAATTAGGTGCCACTTTGTTACACTTTCATTTCATACTGGTGCTTATTTGTGGTTAAATTTGGGAAACTTTGTTTCAAACGGCGCTTATTTTAAGCACTTCAAGTTCTAGTACCAGTAACTGTGTTTCAAGCCATTGTTCTTGGTCCATTCTGGTAATACATTATTGGCAATATTTTACATTACAGTCTGACGCTTAGTCACTGTAGCCTTTATTTTAAATACTAAGTAAATGACCTGTTTTCAGACAGTCTAGAAAGTTATACAAAAAGTATCATCCTTTAGAAAACATTCACAGTTTGCCGTATGATCAACAGAAAAATAAAACAAACACAAATGCATCGCTTAGTGGTAATTATAATAACGTACAAAAAATAAAATGCAAGTAAAATTCAACTTAATTTCATCGTAAGGGAATGATTTCGGTCGCATGTAAACACTTGATGCGATACGATATCCGCCATACTTCCTGTGTAGGAGTTGACCTGATAGGTCAAGTCGTTAATTAACCAATCAAAATGCTGGATGATGCCAACGTGATCAAATTACCATAGCTCATTTAAATAATGTACGTCAACACGTCGCCATTGTTCGCGATTTTTTGGCTTTGATTTTGGTGGGAAAACGGCATCATTTTTTTTTCAAATCAAGAAATTGGTTATTTCTGGAAAGTTAAACTGAGCATTTAAAGAATAATTTAACATTGTTTACTGTGATAACAGCTCATTTGAAACAAAACATTTTCGCGTAGTTTTAATTTCATGTTTATGGACTTACTGCGAAATTCGCTAAATTAAAAACCACACGAATATTTTCTACTTCTACAGTAGACCAAAGAGACATTTCTAATTTCTAAAAAATTTTTAGGAAAAAAAAAATATTTTGCATAAAAACCAATCGTACAGTAGCAGTAACCGGTAGTCGATCCGCCGGCGCACAATTCACGATCATGCGTGGCAAAATTTCAACTCTGCCTGGCGATTTATTGGGGTGTAAAATACGATGTTTTCGCGGCACTTGAAGGTGGTGCTTAACTGAAGACAAATACGGTAATGAGACTACACATGGGTACTAAGATATAGTTGTATGGCCAAAAAGGAAGATTCCCAGCAGAACAATATGTTTGATCCTGATCATGAAAACTGTGAAGAATCACTATCTTCAGAACATTTAGTGAAAACCACATACCTTTGACAAATTTCTTTACAGAAGCAGCTGTTTCTTTGACACCAGCAGTGAGAATAGATGTCTCTGTATTGTCCTGTGCCCGTCTCTCTATCACTTTCATTAACGCTATGTTGTCATCAGAGAGGATCTTCTGTAGTTTGAGTTCCGTGGCAAACACTCTCTTTATTTTATCAGGTTTGTTGCCACTCCCATACTTCTCTTCAAACATCGCAAACACCGACTTACACCTGAAACAGACATTGCTTCATATTGAGAATAATTTAAAACCAAAATTAGATTATTCATTCAATGCATACAAATACAGATTTATTGGATGGCAAATAATGGGTTACAGAGGCCAAATTGTTAATGATGATAACAATAATGATGACAACAATTGTTTACCTTCTGTAATTTGTGGCATCACAGAACAAGACAAAAGATAAATGGGGGAAACATGTTTTAGGTGGGGATGCTAGAGAACAGGAAAGAGCCACATGTAGTATGTATGTCAACAGAATATAGTGGAGATATTTGGAGACATGGACATAGGGGGTTTACTGAGGAATGAAATGATTATATCAATATAAAATAAAGTAGTGTTCATTCAGAGACTGACTTACATTTCTGATGTGAAGTTACAAACCAGTTCCTGTAACCAATTCTGCCAGTCATAACATCTATTCTGATTCACATAGGAACTTGGAAACTACATGGAGTAAAAAAAAAATAATGTCAGTCAGGGAGTATTTCAAGGAATTCATGGATAAACATATTACATTACAATTTAGCAAAAATGTCCTTGCTACATAGCGCCTACCATCTATTTGATCTAAACACAAGGATGACCTAGTTACCAGAGTTTAGACGATATATTTTATATATAAGAAGCAAAATGTAACCTCATTACAAATTCATTCAGTCAACCAATACCATGGTCAATCTAAGTACAGATCTTAGTCAATTTGAAACACATCAATCAATAAATATGCATATGTTATAAACATTTTCAATTGTAAATATCATGCATAACAAACAGGCTCTCGACTGAGATAGCTCCGCTGTTTGCAAAGCACATTTCATTATTTGTCGTTTTAACAAGAAGTCGAAAATATCACTATGTACTAAAATTGACAAAAATATTCATCAAAATTAGAGAACTGAAGATATCATTAGAAAATAAACAATATGTACAGTATCAAAGCAATTGGACTTGCGGTTTTTAACAAAAAGTCGAAAATATCACTTTTTACCAAAAATGACAAAAATAAAATTGGAGAATTTAAGATATCATCATGAAATGAACAAATCTGAGAGAGGGCTACCTGAGGTACCTATATGTATACCAGTAGTATCAAAGCAATCAGACTTGTCGTTTTAACAAGTCAAAAATATTACTATGTACCAAAAATGACAAAAATGTTCATCAAAATTAGAGAATTGAAGATATCATCACAAAATGAACAAATCTGAGAGAGGTCAACATGTAGTACTTACATATGTAATATCTAAGCAATCGGACTTGCAGTTTTTAACAAGAAGTCGAAAATATCACTTTTTACCAAAAATGACAAAAATAAAATTGGAGAATTTAAGATATCATCACAAAATGAATAAATCTGAGAGAGATCCACCCAAGATACCTACATACCTAGTATCAAAGCATTTGGGCAAGCAGTTTTCAAGAAGAAGTCGAAAATAGCATTTTTGACCAAAAATGACAAAAATATTGGCTATAAATAAGACAATTAAACATATCGACACGAAATGAACAAATGTGAGAGAGAACTACCCAAGGTACCTTCCTAGAAAGTTTCACAGCTCAACAGTTTGTGGTTTTTAAGAAGAAGTTGAAAATGTAAAGTTGACGACAACAATGGACAATCAGTAATACTACAAGCTTCGCCTGACTTCGTCGACAGCGGAGCTAAAAAGGTAAAAAAGTTGACGACAGACGACATACTACATAGGCCGGACAATCAGTGAGCTCCGTGTTGTCGACTTTGTCGTCAGCGGAGCTAAAAAAGCAAGTATAGCATTAGGCAGAGTACACTAGGCCACTTAATTTAATGAGGCAGTTCAACATTTTGTAGCAGTCATTCCAATGGTTTGACTTTTGTAAATGTCGTTAAATCACTAAATTACAAACTTGTATCAAAAATTGAACAATGTACATAATATGAATGCTGGTACTAACCTGGGAAGCAATAGTACTATAGCTATGTAATACTTCTAAACACCCTCTCAACATTTGCTGTCTTTGGTGAATGAGATTAGACAGTTCACTTTCTACTTGTTCACATTGTATCACAGTCTGTGCCTGGCCTGCATTCTGTAAGAACTCAGTAGCATGTACATAGCTTGCAACACCTGCCAAATAATAATCAGAAAATACTTCATTACAAAACAGCTTTTTCTTCTGATTGTACAATTCTTTCAAGTATTTCAAGTATTTTTGAACCATGTCAAGACTTCTTTGATGGTATATGAACATTACTACAGGAAACATTAGGATTAGTGTTGAACCAAAATTAAAGCCGCAAGCGGCATAAGCGGGCCCCAAGCTAACAGGATTCTGTTTCATAATTAATGATGTCACTGGATTGCCATTAGGGTAGTTTGAATGATCTGTACCATGAGGTTGAAATACAGTTAGTTTGATGTATTTACCTGGTTTAGTTTTCAAAATATGTTTTTTTAAGAATATATAATGAGCAATGTGCTTATGCATATTCATGATCATATACCGTATTTATCGGATAAACGCCCCCCCCCCCCCCACCTTTTGATAAAATAAGGATCTGAGGTCAAACGCCCAGGTGTTTTTTTCTACACCTGTAATAAAATAAAATAACAAAAACCTTTTTTTGTTCATTGTATTAACAGTTGACTTCTTTGCAGTCTGTTGTGATTTTGATAAAAGAAATTGAAAAATAAATGTCAATTGCGGTAAAACAAGGAATGCGAAATAGCTGTGACATACATTGTAAATAGAGCAGCGTGTTCACCACTGTTTACATTATTTTATTTTTTCAAGATTATTTTTCAGAAACATAACAGCCAGCGAGTCAACAAAAATGTATACTAAAGCAGAAACGGAAGTTCTCTTTTTGAAATATGTCGTGGCCCTGAAAAGGGCTGTTTGGTTTGTGTTTCCTTATAGAAACGATTCAAGCTGCGAGAGCCGCGAAGCAAGTGTTGCACTCGTTCGGCTTTAGCGTCGTCGACAATGAAACCAATGTTGCAATATTGTAGCAACCTGTACCTGGGAGAGTGGTTGAAAGCATGTTGTTTTGGCTTTATAAAATATTTGGTAGCAGCTTGCGAATCCATAACTGGGGCCAGCAATTTTGCAATGTCACGCAAAAGACTTCCAATTTTTTTACCATCTTTCATCACAGCTATTGCATTTCTGTCATGAAAATTATTCTTCTGTCGTTGGAGAAACAATTTTTTTCCTATTACAAGCCCATCGCAATATCTGTAGTGATTTGTACACACTATTGATATGATAATTAATGTACACCTGGTATGCCAGTACATCTGGCATGCGCTGCTATAAAAGAAATGTAATTCAATAAAATGTGGTCAGTATTCTATAAGCCTTGGTCATGTTTGTGTCCTGTCATTGTACCGTGTATGCGTGCTTTTGCTACGGGTCCACCCAAGAATACCACAATATCCATATAGCGAGACATTCCAATAGCCAGAACTTGCTCAATGATAACTTACACCACGATTGATGAGCAATGTTGACCTCTGTGATGAAACACTACTAGTGATGTCATTCTTAGCCAATCAGAAACAGATGCTTAAAGGTCAAACATGATTGACAGACTGTAAACAAAAGCAGCTTGTGCCATTGCAGCACGTCTGCCGCAAGCCTATTTTTCTTGTCTCTTTATTGTTATTGGACATGAATTAAAAGTGCAAAGACAACGAAATCCGTGGATTAAAAGTGCCAAGTCAAAATTGTGTGCAACGACATCGACAAACTTTAGGACAAAGCTGTAGGGATCTTGTTTGACGATGACAGTGACGCCGACTTGGACTTTGAGGGTTTTGACTTTGATGAAGATGGCCATGAACGCACTACAAAATAAAGATCTAAGAATTTTTTTCGAACAACTATGAACTTTTGTAATTTTCACTATGTAAATTCGTAAATTATTATTGTTCGTGTATGACTGTTGATCCGGTATTTGTCAAAACCAGAAGTAATTTTACACAGTTTAACCTGTGACATTTTAGTTCATTTTGAGTTCAAGCATTTGTCGGCAGGGAAATCCTAAATTCGAATGATTCTTCACTGTCAATTTGTATTATTTCTGGTTTATTTGTCACATTATAAACAATACATTATTTTTGTTTTACTTCTAATGTTGCATATTGTTCATTTATTTCTCTTGCGTGTTTTTATTTACCGTTCTATTCCCTGTCACAGTTTGATCTGCGTGTTGTCGATTTTCGCGATTTTTCGTTTCTTTTTGCAGGGGATATCCAGGCAAACGCCCACCCCTATTTTTTGGCAATTTTCCATGTTCAGGACCCTGGGCTCTTACCCGGATAAATACGGTATTGTACATGTTTTGTTTGATGCCTTCATTATTGCCGTGGTTGCGTGTCCCGTTCTGCAAGTATTTCAGATATGACTGCTATGAATATTAATGAGTTCACATGACCATATATGGTCATCTGTTATTTTAGACAAATCTCTTATTTAACGACACCGTAATAATGCAGGTGTAGTCTTCCTAACTACAACAGTGATTGACATATAGCAGTTATTCATATTACTGAGGTTAGAATCCCCCACCCCATGAGCGCACAACAACATGACCGAGCTATGTTCCATTTGGGTGGAAGAATGTACCTCAAGAGTAGAATGCACATACATTTTTTTAGCCAAATCGGACCAACACATGTAGTTGCACAAGTTCCGTTTTCACAAAATCCAAGATGGCGGCCAAACATGTGACAGATCAAAATTATATTATTTTTCTCACATGAAGCTATGCCCAGATAAGGGACGACGTCAAAAGATCGATGTCCGATAAAAAACTTAATTCCTTTAGTTTTTTTCCAAACCCCCCTACCCCCCACTGAAACTTAATTGATAAATATTGGTCATGGCGTCAGACTACATTCACCATTAAATACAAATTGATAATTGGACAGTAGTATTGCATAGCAGTTGGTTGTCGGGTGGGTGTAAACAGATTTTATAAATGCACCTCATTTTTGACGCACAGATTCACACTCGAACCAAACCATTTTCTCGTCTTGGATGTGTGTGTTTTTCCTTTTCGGTTAATGATTGGATAGAAAAAAAAAGAACTACAAACACTCCAAGATTATTTTAACTTCATTAAAAAATAAAATCGTTTTTGTAGGATGGAAACTTTTTGAGGTCAAAACCCCCACCCCCAAACTAAAGGAAATAAGTTTTTTATCCGACATTGATCTTTTGACGTGGTCCCTAAGTTATGTGCACAATAACCAGTAGATCAGTTGAAGCACCTTTGAGATACAAATGCCAAAACTGTTGGTCAATTTTGATGAAAATCCAAGATGGCAGCCGAACCAAGTGACAGATCTGAAATCTTTTAGAACTTTCTGAAAGAGTTCCATATAAAGATGCAATGCAGCAAATAATCACATATGGCTGCCAAACCAATTAACCAATCAAAATTCTAAAAGTCTTATGCACCAGTTTACATTAAAGACTACAAGTTTGGAGAATATCAGACTATTCTGTTTAGCAGTTTTCTCAAAAAAAACGAAAAAAATTACAGAAGAAAGAAGGAAAAAACGAACGATTATAACAGGGGCCTAGCACTACGGGCTTGGGCCCCTAACAAAAGCAAAAAAGTGAGGAAAAGAAAATCAAATGAGAAATTGCGATAATCAGCCAATATTCAGAAGAGCTGGAAATTGTTAAATTTTGAATGAATATTACACATTTGCCACACCATCTTATGTTACATAATAGTCGTTATTATACATTTGTCATCGTAACGCCATAAGTTACAGCGTGCCGTTACGCTCAGTGTTCGAAATTAACGTCAATCCGTCGGCCTCACGCCGACAGTGGGTGTAAAGGGCCTAGAGCTGTGAAAAACCATCAGTCCTTGTGACCGACCATAAATTTATAATTAAAAAAAAGCGTTCCATTATTTAGTATGATTGTAAGACCAAATATATAATCAAAGAAAGCTTAGAAAGAACTCCCATGTGCTGAGAGTATTGGAGACACATTAAATATAATTCGAAATTACTTAGCTGAAAACTAATTATGCAAATCAGAAAATTAATATGACCAGATTTGAGTGTAAAACTAATGAGGTCTGCGCAATGTAACAGAAAATCTATGTCTCCAAGTTTAATTGAAATGTGATTAGAACCAAAAAATTATGAATTATTATGCTTATTAGGGAATTAATATGAACAGATTTTTACCCCAAACTAATTAGGTTTGTACATTGTCCTAGAGCATCTTTGTACTAAGTTTCATTGAAATGGAATAATTAGCACCGTGAAAACTCCAAAATTT